TGTAGGCCAAGGCCGAGTCACCAACGTCAACGCTCCCTGCCCCTCGCCCTCCCGTGGGGAGCAGGAGCAGCCCCCGGCGCGGTCCTGGGCACTGCGGGCTGGCTCGGGGAGCAGGCTACGGGGGGAGGCATTGCCGTTGGGAGTTATCCGCCCCCCCCACAGGGCGGGCCCCAAGCAGAGAGGCCTGGCGGAGTGGCCCCAAATCCCACGTTTGCACGTGCGCTTTGGGAACCGACTCTGGCTGGCAGGAGTGACGACTGCACCCTCCCCCACCCCCGCGGGGGCTTTCTGCTCCATGCATGGGACTGGAGAACGCTGGGCCGGGACCACAGCAAAGCCCCGGCCCAGGCCTCTCGCCCCCTCCTGCAGGACCATGGGGCCGTGCTGGCTGAGCGGAGCCGGGCTGGCACCCCCGGAATACAACAGGCCCACACGCTTGCTCCCAGCTGTGGAGGACTAGCGACCGGGGCATGGGCCGGTCTTTGCGGGGGAGGGGAGAGGGGGTGTAGACTGAACCCCCCACTAGCTCTGGAACCCCTCTGCGCCTGCGGCCCATTAGCTGCTTGCTCCCTGATCCACCGTCCCACGGGGCCTGAAGCGATGGCCTGAGGCTGCGTGAAGAGGAATGAAGCAAACCACAGGCTCACGGGGACAGCTGCTGCATGTCCAGCGGGGCAGCATGGCCGCCTCGCGGAACGGATGCTCAGCCCCGGGGGCTGGAGTCACTGGGCAGCCGGGCCCCAGGCCCAATGGGCGCGTGCAGGGAAGAGCCCCGGGGTAGGAAAAGGCCCCGCTGGGGGTGCGTGTGGTGCAGTTTCTACCGTTACACTGGGGCGACCAGTGACCACTGCCCTAGGCTGCCGGCAGCCTGCATGGCAAGTCGCGCCATGGGGCTGCCCTCGCCCCCGCTGCTCTGGGGCAGGAACTCAAGCGCGCCACCCACGTCAGTGCCTCCGTGCGGGCAAGGCATGGCCGTCGCTCCACCACCGGGGTGCCCGGTGCCACACTGCTGCAGCACAGGCTGGATGAAGAGCGGCAGGGACTCTACCCCTCAGCAACAGGCCTCGGGCCTGCCACGGACACAGCGCGCAGAGCAGCATGTGTGAGCGCCCCACAGGAAGCTGGCCCCACAGGGCCGGGGCTGCATGGGGAGGGGGCCTGACGGCAGCGGGCATGTGGGGCGGAGGGTCATTTCTAGTCCCATTTGCAGAGGCCCTGGGGCATGATCGGCAGTGGGGCTTGTCGGGGGATGCTGAGGGAGTGAGCCAAGGCCGGGAACTGAGCTGAGCCCGTCTGAGCCCACGGCCCCCTGTGCAGACAAGCCCTGGGGCTCTGAGCATTTCGGGCTGGTCTTTCCCTCAGGGAGCCGAATGGTGTTGGGAGGCCGCAGCCCTGCCCGGACGCAGAGCAGGCCCTGTCCTTGGCTCGGGCCAGTGACCCTGCTGCGTGAGCGCGGCGCATGCGACCCATCCCCGCCCAAATGCCAACCAGGCATTGGCTGGGCAGTGCCAATTAATTCCAGAAATGCAATTGCATTTGCAGGGCAAGTTCCCTGCTCCCAGCGTGCTGCAGGGGGTGCTCGCTACTTGCACAGCTGCCTCTGGAAAGAGAAGAACCAGAATAGGAGCACGAAGATTTGTCAAACCCAAATAAATGCAGTCAGAGCCCTGGAAACATAATGCCTTCCAGGAAAAATGATTCCCCATCCAACTGCGTTCTCATGGTTCATTAGTATTACTGTCGTCTCGGTGGACATTTCATATTTGGTAGGTTTTTTGCTAACTAAGTGCTGGCATAATTCTGCCCCAGTGTTCCCTCTAATATTTTCCATCGCAGGCAGAATAAATTTTGTTAGGCGCACCGAGGCTTGTGCAGATGTGCACTCCAATTAGAAATAGGCAGTCACCCCACGGATTAGCAAAGCACCCACAGCCGACAGCGTAAGCGTGCTGGTTCCAGGGAACATTGCCATCTGGTTAGGGCACAAAACAGACTCCCAGATAAGATACTGTTCGAAGATCCCACGAGCAATCCACTTGTTATTTATGCAATGGGCACAAGAAAAATACCACCAAAATTATAACTAATTAAAGTATCCAGTTCCTGCAGTAATGTAAGAGCCTCAGATCACCTAGGCTGTGTCTAGACTGGCAAGTTTTTTCGCAAAATCAAATGATTTTGCGGAAAAACTTGCCAGCTGTCTACACTGGCCGCTTGAATTTCCGGAAAAGCACTGACGAGCTCATGTAAGATTGTCAGTGCTTTTCCGGAAATACTATGCTGCTCCCGTTCGGGCAAAAATCTTTTTCCGAAGACTTTTGCGCAAAAGGGCCAGTGTAGACAGCACAGTACTGTTTTCCGTAAAAAAGCCCCGATCGCGAAAATGGTGATCGGGGCTTTTTTGCGGAAAAGTGCGTCTGGATTGGTCACGGACGCTTTTCCGCAAAAAGTGCTTTTGCGGAAAAGCATCCTGCCAATCTAGACGCGCTTTTCTGAAAATGCTTTTAACGGAAAACTTTTCCGTTAAAAGCATTATCGGAAAATCATGCCAGTGTAGACGTTGCCCTAGTGTGACTACAGTATCTGATTTGCAAAAGCATCTAAAAGGGCTCCCTATATCTACCACTGAAATGCAGCCACCTCTGGGGTGGAAAGTGACAGCTGTTAACAGCACCAGCAATGCTATGATTTTGGGACATGAGATGAATACGTATTTGACGACTGTTATATCAAGATGACTCGGTGGTTCCACGACATTGTGTCAATTAGTCTAAATCCCTGAAAAACTCCCCTCTCTTTTACGATGAGCTTAATCTGTAATGGAAACGGGGGCCAGCACTTGTTTCACCGGTAACACCTCTGCATAGCTAGCACAGAGGGAAATACTTATCTGAGCAGCTAAGAGCAATCTACCAAAGTCACTACTCTGGCAAGTGAGACCAAGTCCCTACAAAAGCAGCCTGCAAATGGAGGGGAGCGTCGTTACCGTAGGGGGTGGCAGCCCACCCAAACCGGGCACCCGAAACAAGAACGATTATTTTGTAACATACAAAAACTATTTTTTTTGTTTGCAAAGGCAAAAAGATTCTCAGAATGTGTGAGACAACATCTGCGTTACTGCCTGGCCACGGGCCCGGTCATCGCTCAGACACAACCCACGTCCGCCGTCCTCTCGGAACTAGAATTCACTTGCTCGTTATCATCATTTCTTGTGTGCAGCCGGTAACAGCCCCATGACTGTCCTCTGACCACACGTAACTAACCCCCACCTGCCCTCCTCCTTTTACAGCACGGGTGGGCTCGGGGAATGCAAGAGGTTGCTTACGACAGCTCACCGATGCTGGGTGGGCCGGAAATCAAGCATCTAAACTTAACGCTGAATGTTCCCTGGATTCACTGATGGTCTCTGCTCTCTTTCATACAAGCAGCTCAACTCGAAGTGAACACAATGCTCGTACTAAACACTGACCGCTGATCTGGAGCTTAACACGACAGCCTGGAACTGAACGCCTTGCAGAGGAAGAAAGGAAGCCAGCAAGACGCTTGGGTTGGAAGCGCACCCCGGGCTAGCGCTTTTCTCTCTAACAGGCAGAAAGGTCCATGCGCCGTTTCTGCTCCACATCACTAACTGCATCCTACACTCAGTCCACAGCAAAACTCCTGGGAGGCCAACAGGCGCTTGGGTTGGGGACATAGGGGGCTGGCTCTCTCTCTCTCTCTCTCTGAACAGGTCGACTGGCCCCGAGTGGACTTAGGCCTTGTGTGAATAGCAACACCCTCTTGGAAGGTTCACATGAGGCACCAGCACCCTGACAAACACCACCTGCCCCAGAGCAGGCCGCGGGAAAGCGACAGAATCGTGGCGCGTGAATTCTCACAGCTGCCTGCCAACAACCCAGCCGATTCACTTTACATGGAGAAGATCGTCTCTTTCTGAAGTATGCAAACACATACAGAGCGAACCAACGAACAGACCCCGTTGGGAGATGTACCCGGTTGTCCCGAAACAGCTGTTTCTAGCATGCCTAGATGGCTACCACCGACAGTCCCGCACAGTAGCCAGGTCACTGGAAGGCCAGCGTTGCTTTGGGAACAGAGACGAGAATTCTTCCAGTTAAATGGCGCAGGAGCCGGAAGGAAGGAGAAGCAGCGATATTCTGTGAGTGAGAGAGAAAAACCTAGTTTCTTCTTTTAAAAACAAAAGCACAGAGGCAAATCGTCTAGGGGAGAATCACAGCTCTTCCAATCTGTGACTTGTTTGCATTCAAAATAATCGTTACATAATAAGCATATGTTGTCTTGCAGCAACGTTTTAAACAATTTCTCTAGGACATCTTGACATGTTGTATTCTTTTGATGCAAATCACAATCTTCACTTTGCTTCGGTAAAGCTTAAGCAAGCAAATAGAAGACTAGGAGTTAAGTGTGAGTCCGGAGGGACAGTACGCACAGTTAGGATCTGTAGTCCTTTTTGCTGTATGGCTTATTGCCCAAAATACTATCGATCTCGTGGATAATGGAAGAGGACAGTTTTGGAAGAACCTGGATGCAAGAAACAAAATCAGAAAGCAAGTCAGCAAGGAACTGAGTTCAAGCCACCTGCCAGCTTGCAAGGTCTGAGCTGTGGGCATACACCCCAAAGCCGGCAGGCAAAAGGGGTCCCTGGGGGAGTTTAAGAAGATACAGGGCGGACCTCCCTGGCCTAGTACTCTTGGGAGCTGACTGGGTCTGGACGAGGGATTTTGCTGAACAAGGGAAGGTCATTTCTGGCTGCCCTGCTGCCACACGGGGCTTCCAGGCTCCCTCATGCAGCTCGGCTGAGCCGTACGCCAGGTCCCGCCCCCCATAGCACACCGGACTCCGTTCCCCATCCGCCCCTGCGGCACCCGCACTCTCTGATCCCGGAACATCAGTGTCCTGCCGGACCACGGATGTTGCTGGACCAGAGTCCCGGCTGAGAGGTGCAGCCTGTATTATTGCAACAGGTACAGCAGGGGCCTGCTGGCCTGGGGAGGGTCACTAGCACCCTGCCCTCGTGATTGCTTTCCACATTGCTTTGGCAAACAAAGGGCAAACGGCTGAAATACAGAATTAAAGGAACCAAATCCTGCAGGAAGCAGGAACACCTTGAATTCACAGCCGCGTAGTGACAGGAACACCTTGAATTCACAGCCGCGTAGTGACCAGCCAGCAGGGCGGAGGGGCTTAAACAACAGAGCGGTCAGGAGAACTTTGGTAACAAATCATCTTTTCCCATAACAGATTCTTTCAGTGACCCAGCCAGGTGCAAAGCTCAGCGGTCGGAGTCCCTGGATCTGCCTTCATGGGCGCTAAGACTACTCAGTCACCCGAGGCATATGAGCCACGATGCCACATTAGCCTAATGTGGTAGCCCTCATGGGCAGCGGGTGAAGGGAGGGCTGGGGGAGGGGAGGGGAGGGGAGGAGAAGCAGCACTCTGCCTCAGTGCGCCTACAGCAGGGGTCCAGGGGCAGGGTGTGGGTGGGGCCAGGTGGGGGGCCTGGGAAGAGCCTGCCCCCGCCTAGCACACCCGCCGCGCAAGGTAGCCCTCGTCAATCCTTGCAACCCTCATGCCGCTGCAGAGCTCCCGCACTGTGCAGAGCTGCGG